TGTGTGTGTGTGTGTGTGTGTGTGTGTGTGTGTGAGTGTGATTGTATGCGATGGCTTTGTTTTTGTGTGGGATGGCTTTGTTTATATGAGTAAATGTTATTTCTATTTTTGTTCGCAGGTATTATTTTGCACTTTGATGTATGTAACGCGCCCAGAGCTGTGTGTTCACGGCAGTAGGCGCTATAAAAACGCATTTCATTATTATTCATTATGAGAGTGGTATTATGTGTTCTTTGAAGGGTAGAAAATAATCAGCATAAAATGGGATATAAGTGGAACTTTTAAAACTTGGAAACAATTAAACATGTTATGGTCTTGACCTCGAACAACTAAAATCTCCCTGCTCTTGTCAGAGTTTTCGTCTATATAGTTGTTACCGTCCGCGCAGTCACTTTGATTTTTCTCTTTTCAGGAAATTGCTAACTGGTCGAAGAAATCATGGTTGTCAAAGCGTGCGTTAAAAAAAAAGTTTGTTGCATACTAACAAGGCTTCATGTCTTGTGTTCAATTTTAATGTCCGTCCTGGTGCGTCTCCAACTGTAGCTTTTTAAATCTTGCCTGCAGTGCAACTTTATAGGCCCCTTGCCTTCAGACAGACACATTCCGATTGATTTCGAAGGTATTCTATAGCCTATATGTGCTTTTATACTGGCCAGAGTATTTTTAATTTTGACAGGAATTAATTTGGGCACAACTCTTATCGATTTTAGAACCACCGAGAGATCTTTCAGGGTGTGCAACTTGCTCACAGGACCTCTGAGATGCTTCTCTTTTTTTCTGAGAAAGCTAGGCGCCCGATGTTACCTACCCTTAGATACAGGTTGTAATAGAAATAAAAGCAGCAAAACGGAGCCAGGATTAGCAGTAGAAAGAGTCAGGAGTATCGGAAAGAGGAGCCCAGAGGAGGCAGAGGGTGGTGGTAACGAAAGGCAAGATCACAAGAGCCATATGATGATGATGATGATGATGATGATGATGATGATGATGATGATGATGATGATGATGATGATGATGATAATGATGATGATGATGAACTTACCGCCGATTTATCAGCATAGATAAGGATGACAATGACCAGCTGAACCAGGAACAAGGCAAGGGTAACGATGGCGTACTGCTCGTGGAACCACAAAACACAAAGAGATAGACATTATTAGCATTTCATTCGCAAAACATTTTTGTTTCTCTCACTCACACTCGTACTGGTACC